AAACTGAATTTTCTATTTTGTAAGTTTTGGGTGTTAAATTGGAATCTCTCTATTGAATGCGATCTGCATTTTGTCGAATAGTCTTCAATTTTGTTACAATTTTGTCCATACTGAATTTTGTAATGAGAATTTTTTTTGCATATATTGTCGATGCTTATACACATTATAGGTATTGGGTTTTGTATTTAGTATTCGATAATGTGGTTTTGTGGTTCTATTATAATTATGCAATCCTTTGTTATTATTTTGAGTTGTTTTCTTAGATTTGTTGTAAAGATGTCATTTTTAAGTATGATATGATTTGGATGTGTTCTTTATTAATTTCACCTTTATATTTGTTCATCACTTCGAACAGATGAGACATGTCCATTTTACATTGTCAAGCTTGTGTAATGATTGACTTGTTATGAGTATGTTAAAATTGAGTTTCTATGGAACGAACAAATTTGTAATTAATTGCATAAAACTTAATAAAAAGTCATGCTATCATTGGGCTAATCTATTTTAATTTTACACTCGTGTTAGAATCACATGAATAATTGTATATTTTTGTACCGAAGCTTCATGAAATTATAGTTAGCTATTTTTTCCATCACAATGCTTGTGTACTTTCACATCAAGGATCAAAAAGACTGCATCAAGTGGTGAAAATATAGAGTATTTTACTGCAGTTCACTAGCCCTCTCTCCAAGGTGATATTAATATTAATAGTGAGACAATTCCAGTTAGCTTAGATTCTAATGTCTCGTAACAAAGATCTCTATTGCTAATCAAATACACCTAAAGGTTTAGGAAATTAAGTAAATAAGAGTTCAGTTAAATTTCTATTTCTATAATTTTTTAAAACTATCAGAATCTATATGTAAAATTCATTGACTACTTAACTAAAATATATTGTAAGTGCATTTGAGATTGGGTTTTACCGTTTCTCTCAACTGGATGATTACAAAATTTATATTTTCTTAGCTTTTTAAATTATCAGTTTTTGTATGTATAAAAATTGATGCATAACTAATCATGAAAATATTTTTTGTGCATTGGTGATTTGAGTTTTCTGTCAATTGGATAATTACAGTGTTAGATGATGGGAATGAAACAAAGGAAAACAACTTCATCTATGTAAATTTTATAAGCACGGTTTAGTTTGCTATTAGAGATAAGTAATCTTCTTTAAATAATGTGAATTTTACCTTCTACCAAATAAATTTTATTTCAACTATTTATTCCCCTTTCCTTTAAAAGAGGCAATGCCAAGATTACTGTTCATTTGTGAGTTGTGATTTCACACTTGAAATTCCTTGGTTTTGGCTATTGTTCACCTTCCATAAATATCTCCTTTAGCAGTTCATAAATATCTCCCCAATAAAATTTTGTTTTGCGCTCTCTTGGCTACTCTCTTCACAAACACACAACGCTTGACTTCTATTGACCTTTTTAGCTTACTGAATCTCACTTGGCAGAATCTGTAATCTTGTATTGATCTTTCTCTCTGTTTTTCTATTAAATTCACCGCTATTTTAGACGCTCTTATTTTGCAACTGTGAAAAATGGTCCTTTATCATGTATATGAATTTCCTGAACTCATGAATATGAATTAGTTTGACATCAGGGATCACAGTATTGGTTATGATTTTCTTTGCCTACCTGGTAATGCTTACCTCCAATGCTTTCATGAAGAAATCCAATAACGATATTCTTATTCGAAATTTTCAGCTAACATTTTCCTTAAGGAGCATATCTCTTCGAGGAGGTAGGTTCTTATGGTTTCATTTGAATTTTAGTATGTTTTGTTTCTGTTTTGTCCAAATGAAAGCATTTATTCTCTCTGGTAAAACGATAAAGAAGAAAAGTTTGTTTATTTATCCCTTTGTTTTCATTTTAACTCGTACAAAATTGTGATTAGAATGATATTTGGTCCAGCAGTTGCAGAAGTTATGAGTTGAGGCTATAAATTTACATCCATTTTACCATCTATCGTCTAAAATGAACCCTTTTGAGTTATCTCTCTCCTTCCCAATGAATTCGACAGTTACATATTACTTGTTGGTGGTAAGTTTCTTCCCTCTCCAAATTATCACTCGTTAAAACCTGTTTATGTTTAAGAAACGTTGAGTTTTCAATTTAAATGATTTTTAACTCACCATACGAATAGTCTCAATTACTATGTTAGATTTAGCTTAACTAAGGAGAACCTATGATCCTCATGAAAGATAAATGAAGCATATTAAATTTTCCTTTTGTCTGCAGATTTCTCACTCTGGCATATTTCTGTTCTGAACATATAGATAACTCCTATAGTTTTGAACAAAACCTATCAAAACACTGATGTTTCTTCTTTATTAATATGACAATGTTTCTTGTCTTTATCAAAAGTTGAGTTCCATAAATGAATCTTATTACTCATGCTCACAGGACCTCTTCAGCCATCTCGCCACATGTCTCTTTTCACCTTGGCAACATCTATGATACTTTTCTTATCAAAGCCTATAAGTTTATCCCTCTTCTCGCTTCTGTCAAGACTGCATTGACCAAAAAAAACATTATGTGCAGAAGCATTAGTTTGTGACATGTGCTTAGCACAAGCTTTGGATAACAAGGCATAATAAAAAAAATATTAAATCTCCGTGCACCACGGAGAGTTCACTCCGTGCGTGGACGGAGAGTACTAGAGCCTGGAAGAAAACACAGAGAAGGAAAATCAATGGTTGAATCCTAGCCCCAGGGCTCAACTCCACCTTCCCTCTTCTTTTTCTTCTTCTTCCTCTTCATGGGAACCCTAGGGCTGGGCAAAATATCCGAACCAAACCGGAACCGAATCGAACTAAATCGAGTGGGTTTTTTAAAATGAAATACCCGAACGGGTATCCAAATCAAGAACCGAATGGTTTGGTTCGGTTCTAGACCCAGAACCGAATAAGAACCAAAACTTTTTTTTCATATCGGATAAATCAATTTCTTTTATTTTTTCTAAATAAATTAATAATTTTTTT